TAATTGCTACCCACATCTCTTCGTATATCTACATAAACCTTATGGCTGTTGTTAGTTTGAAGTCGCTGTTTGTTGTTCTCTGCTTGTTTTGAGCTAGGATGATCTATTTCAGCTTTGGAGCCATTGCGTTTAGAACCGAAGCCCAACTTAATAGCTGCCATTGAACTTCGCGAAGTGCTATTGTGAGTTTCCCAGAGATGTGCACCCGGAATCATCGATATGGATAAAAATGTAGGTTATTATCAAAGACCTTGCTAACAAGATAAAAAAGGGAAATTGCCTTTTTATCACAATAAGACTTGTCGTATATTCAAGGCAGAGAGAGTTATTGAACCAAATAACGTATTACGTCGCACATTGAGCAATTTACAAAATTTGCCACATGTCATTCCATGTAAATACACTTCTGAAGAGAAGAGAAATGGATGAAGGAAGTGGAATTGAAGAATGTTCAATTATTGTTTATACCCTATAGCGATTCTTTCAGAACACCTCGAACGACCATCGTCGTTCGCGAAAACTCGTCCGACTCTTGATTGCGATATTTTCTGTGGTGACGATTATCCTTATCGTCGTCTCTATAACGTTATTGCTTACTCAAGAGCGTGAGTCTGTTCACGTATGTTAGAGAGTTTCAAAAACCTATTTATTTGAACATGCAACACATTCTCATTGATTGAGGTCTACAATTCTGAAAGATTTAATAGTACAACTGCTTACAGCAGTAAATCTCAATGGATCAGCAACGCCGCCACCTATAGATGGTTATGAGAACAGGACGTCTAGTCGGTTGCAATTCAGGCGGCGACCGAATTATCGCAGATTCACTTTTGATGATCTCTTTTCTGGGAAAATTTTCCTCAGGGATTCTTATACAATTGCATGGACTCGAAAAAGTGGTCTCATCCAAACAAAAGACGAATTTCTCGGGGTTCGTTTATGTACATATTCAAGCTACTTTAACAACTAGCAGTAATGCTTTTAAAGTTCCTGCTTAGTCTAATTCAATAGGGGTTTATAATTTAGGCTACATTTAGGGCGCAACGGTAGCTACGGTTATCGAACCTGGGACGTTTACTGCTGTGGACTATTTGTCAGACTCGTCTCTCATGCATTCATTGTCTTCTAACAATAAGTACGCATACATATCCAAGAATATCAAACAGGTGCAGTTATGCTACTCATTCAAGATTTTGTCCTCTGAAACAGACTGAACTGGCTGAAGCTAAACATCCCATGAGTTAAGCGCTTTCAAACAGCATCTTCACGTCGTTCAATACAGAAGATTTTTCTTTTTTCTCATTAAGTGTCCTTATAAACAAACACTCAACCACATGATTCGAACTTCCTCATTTATAGATCTTTCGGCATTCCAACGAATTACTCTATGAAATAAGTAGCATAACAAATGGGACTCCATCAGAGTAAGTAGCTGCCTTAGCAGAAAATCTGAGCTATACAATGCCAAAGTGCTGAGTAGTAGATTTCAGGCAGAAGTACCCCGTAGGACCAGTAGGAGACGGATATGAAACAGTTCTTGCTTTTAAGTGGAATCCAAATCCGAATAAGAACGATTTTGTGAGTCGGAACGCTACGCATAAGCAATTTCCCCCCAATCCAATTAATCCCTTATTCAAGGTGTTTGTTCACGAGTATAATATCTATTATCAAGCTGATCCAGAACATCCAGGGAGTGCACAGCAATTAACAACTGATGGAAATTATTTATTACGTTATGGAGTGCCAGATTGGTTGTACGAAGGTACTTATATGCTGCACTAAACTGCTTCCATGTGTGT